AAAGAGAATCCAAGAAGAGTCCATTATACTGTGTAAGTCGAAAGAGTTGAAAATCTGGGAAGACCAAGGCAGTGAAAGGCCAAAGAGCATAATATCAAAAAGAAGAGAGCTGAAAAACAAACAATCTGCAGAGGGTTCTCCTTGAGAAATCAGTTGAGTAATGATAAGTACATGCATATGATAAAACTACCCAAGGCTGGACTAAGTGTCCTCCAAAGGTTTAGATATAATATGCCCAGTATTCACCCTGGTCCAGAAATCAAGCTAATTTCCCATTGGCAGACTAGAAACCCTCATAATTCATGACTCAACTGGAAGAGGACACTGAAGAGTCTTGCTTCCTATGTAGTATAAAAAATACATATGTTGTTATTGCTTATACAGATGGTGCCTCCTATCAAAAGGAAAACAGAGACACACAGCATAGAAAATTATATTAAAACTGTCAATAAGAATATAGATATTTTATATTTAAATGGTCCATTCCAGTGTATACACAGGAGAGTAGTCTAAGATTGAGCACTATTCAATTCCTACTTAACACATTTAAAAAGCAAGATCCAACAAACAAATGTTTCCATGTAACTTAAATTTGTCTATAACAGAGCTCAAGAATATTCATAGAATACTAAAATACCCAGCAACCAACAAAGTAATATTTGCAATGCCTGGAATTAAATCTAAAAGTACCAGGCATTTAAAGTAGCAGAAAAATATGATGCATAATGAAGAAAACAAAACAAAACTATGAATCAAAGCTGACCAAGATTGGACATAAGTGTTAGAATTGGGAGGCAAGAACATCAAAATAGTTATTGTAAGTATTGCATATGTTCAAACATTTAAGTAGAGATGCAAAGACCCAGTCTGAATTTCTTAAGATGAAAAATAAAATATATAAAAAATACAATAGTTTGGATTTATGGCAGATTAGACGGTAAGAAGGAAAGGTTAGTAAATTTAAATATATAGAAATAGAAATAATCCAAAGAGAAACAGAAAAAAAAAGAAGAAAAAATAAATTTAAAAAAAATGGCAGGTGAAATGGCTCATGCCTGTAATCCCAGCACTTAGGGAGGCCAAGGTGAGAGGATTGCTTGAACCCAGGGATTCGAGACAGCCTGGGCAACTTGAAGAGTCCTCGTATCTACAATAAATCAAAAAATTAACCAGGCATGGTGGTGTGTGCCTGTAGTCCCAACTACTTGGAAGGCTGAGGTAGGATTGCCTGAGTTCAACAGGTCAAAGCTGCAGTAGCTGTGACTGTGCCACTGCACTCCAGCCTGGGCAACAAAGTGAGACTCTGACTCAAAAAACAAAACAAAACAAAAATCCAGCATTAGTCAGTTGTGGACCAACTTCTAGAGACCTAATATATGTACAAGTAGTGTCTACAAAAAAGGGGTAGAAGTAATATTTAAGTTAATAAGGCCAAAATGTTTCTTAATTTTAAAGAAAACTGAAGGCCCCAAGTACCTTAACAAACTATAAGCATTAGAAACAAGAAAAAGATTACACTGTGCCAAATCATAGTCAAATTGTATAAATGAGTAGAAAAGACATTTTAAAAACAGTTGGGGGAATAGGGAAGATATACACATAGAAACATAACTGAGGACAACTGCAGATCTCTCATAGAAAACAGTGCAAACACAAAGATGATGGAGCGATATCTTTAAAGTAAATTTTTTAAAAATGACAATCAGAATCATATGATCATCTTAACAGATATAGAAAAAGATTGTGACATGCTCCAACATCCATTTCTAATGAAAACTCTCAGCACACTGGGAATAGAAGATGGGTTTTGTAACTGAATAAATGACATCTATAATTAGGCTACAATGAATATCATAGTCAATCAAGAAAGGAAATTTTTCACTTGTTTGGAAACAAGGCTAAGATGTCTGCTCTTAATTACTCCCATTCGACATCATACTGGAAATCTTTGCCAGTACTATAAAGCAGGCAAAATTCAATCAAGAGTTTTTTTGTTTTGCAAAGATTTATGAACTGATTCTTAAATTAATATGAAATAATCAATAGATCTTAAAATAGCCAAAATAACTCTGAAAAAGAAAGTTGGAAGATTAATTCTACCTTATTTTAAAACATACTTTAAAGATTGAGTAATCAAGATTGTATGGTGTGGGAATACAGATAAATTGATCAATAGAACAGCATGAAGAGTCCAGAAATATAGCCAAACATATTTGAAGAGCTGAATTCTATCAAAGGTGCAAAAGCAATTTAGTAAAGAAAGGATAGGGCTTTCAAAAAATGGTACACAAGCAACAGTATATCCATAAGCAAAAATAAAAACAAACAAAAAAATGAACTTGGGTCTGTAACTTACACTAAAATAAAAAAAGTTACCTCAAAATGTATCATAGACCTAAATGTAAAACTTGAAACCATAAAATTACACAAATATAAAATACATGAACAATATCAAGTGGGCAAAATTTTTACACATACACCTAACAAAAGAAGATACCTGGATAATAATAACATTCAAAATTATTAGTCCTTAAAGAAATACAAAATATAACCACTTTAAGATACCAACTACACATACATTAGAAAGGCTAAAATTTAAGACTGGCCTCATTTAGAACAGAAGCTCCTCAACTTATGAAAGTGTTACATCCCATGATAAACCCATGATAAGTCAAAATACTGTAAGCTGTAAATGCACTTAACACTGGCAACACAGCAGATGGACCCTGGCTTACGATGGTTCAACTTTTGATTTGTTGACTTTATGATGGTACAAAAGTGTTGAGGCATTCAATAGAGTCCATAACCCAAGTATAAGTCCCAAGTAACTTCTTAGCTTACAATAGAGTTACATCCTAATGAACTGATATTCAAGTAAAACAATCATTAAGTCAAACCATCGTAAATCAGGGATTATTTATATTGGAAGAATGTGTTTGTCCTGGAACTCCCATACACTTGTGGTAGAAATAAAAAAATGGTATAACCATTTGGAAAAAGCATCTCAAATATCAATTATATTCCTAATATATGATCCAGCTATTCCTATTCTATGTATTTATTCAAGACAAATAAAAATATATGTCCATGGCCGGCCGCAGTGACTCAGACCTGTAATCCCAGCACTTTGGGAGACCGAGGTTAGAGGATTGCCTGAACTCAGGGGATCGAATCCAGCCTGGGCAACTTGGTGAGACCTCATCTCTACAATAAATCAAAAAACTAAGCCAGGTGTGACAGCACACACCTGTATTTCCAGCTACTTGGAAGGCTGAGGCAGAAGGATTGCCTGAGTCTAGCAGATCGAGACTGTGGTGAGCGTGTCACTGCATTCCAACCTGGGTGACAGAGTGAGACTCCAACTCAAAAAAAAAAATGTCCATACGAATATTTATACACAAATTTTAGTTCTAGTATGAGTCACCTGTTTAATATACAGGTCACTTTGTTTTTAATAATCCCAAACTGGAAACAAACCAAAATAGCCATCAAAAGGTGAATGATAAAACTAACTGTGATATGCCCTACAACTTGGACAGATCTCAAAATAATTATGCCGAGTGAATGGAACCACACAAAAGAAAGTAACATACCATATTTTCTATTTCTATAAAATTCTTGAATATGCACAATGAAACATATTCTATGGTATCAGAAAGCACACCAACGATTGCCTTGGCACAAGGGAAATGAGGAGGGATGACTTTCATTGGGGCATAAAGAATCTTTTGAGGGATTGATGGACATTTTAATTATCTTGTCTATAGTAATGATTTCACAGAGGAATACATATGTCAAAACTTAACAAATTGCACACTTTGAATATGTAGATTTATATCAATTATACCTCAATAAAGTTGTTTTAAATCTTCAAATTTCCAGCTTCTCCAGAAAAACTGGAAGCTCTAGTTATATTGTGTCTGCTTGATTGCATGGCAGTGGAAGCCATTTATTTTCCTAGAGCCACTTGCTCTCCAGTCTACCATGGTCTCTATCCCTCCCCCTTTGTTGCCTTTATTCTGTTTTATTCATTTACTTGATCCCAACAGAAATTTAGATTTGTAACTAACAATTGTTTTTTGTCTTCTGTTAACAAAGGGATATAGATCTCTCTGATCAACCTTAAGGGAGAAACCATCCAAGTCCCTTAACTTATTCTCTATTTCCTGTGGTATTTGGTCCCAACTGATTTTCCAAACCTATTTCTTAACATTTCCTTCATCAGCCCATATACACAAGAAACTATTTCTTCCACACTATTGCCCACATCCCCAAATAAGCTGCATGTTCTGGATTTGCTTATTTAGTATGTTAATGAGATTCATGTTTAAACCATTTGCAAAGAGAGGACTTAAGAATAAGAAGAATAAGAACTGCCTTTAACTCACTTAAAGCTTTTCATTTCTACCAAATGGTAATTGGAAGTCATTTTTTGTCTCTCTAAGGTGTGGTAGAAAGAAAAGAACCCTTGAGAGAGAAATGATTTCTTGCTGTTCAGTGCAAAATGTAAGAGGTTTAAAAATAAATGTTCTCATGGAAAATGAGAGGTTGTAAAAGTTAACATCAACCATCTCATCAACACAGACTAGTGTAGATGTGGTTCTCCCCCAAGTGATGGGCCGGGTGATACTCAAAGCCTCTATTGTCTTTACTTATAAATCTCCAGATATCAATATATTGTTGATTGAAGCCTACAAATTCCTAGCTCTGCTGGATCATCCCAAGTTAGAGATCATGTTGTGAATTTGCCTCCTGCAGTCACCCCAATAATGCCACCTTTTTTTGGTTTGAAATGTTTTTCTTATTTAATTGCTTCCAAAGATGAAGAATAAATAATAAATATTATGAGAGTAGTAAGTGAATTTATAGTGTTAGTTTCTCTCCTTTTATAATTTTTGCAAAAAGAGATTATTAAAATATGAGATAATTATTGCTTACGTACTTTGCATGCCTGTCTTAAGTATTTTAATCTTTGTAATAGTTTAATATCATATACTCACAAATAAAACTTTTCATCCCATACTGGATTCAAGTTTCCAAAAATGGTTTTAGTCCTTCTTTTGTTCTTTCCAACTTGAACTGTAACATATGGATCACTAGACCCTGTTTTGTCTTTTGCCTGTAAGCCTTGTGCAGAAACCACTGAAATAAACCAAAATAAACATTATAAGATAAAGATTTCCCCAGAAACAACAACAAAAAATAATAATAATAAAGGAAATTTTTTCTAGCACTTGTTTCCCTGAGTTTGCAGATATATCTCCACTGCCTTTATTCTCATGACCAACAGGACTTAAAAAAAATAGTTTAATAGTTTAATAAAAGAATAGGCAGGGTGTGGTAGCTCATGCCTATAACCTCAGCAATTTGGGAGGCCAAGGCAGGAAGAAAGCTTGAAGCCAAGAGTTTGAGACAAGACTGGACAACATAGTGAGACTTCATCTCTACAAAAAATAAAAAAATAAAAAATTAGCAGGGCGTGGTGGCATGTGCCTGTCATTGCAGCTACTCAGGAGTTTGAAATGGGAAAATTGCTTGAGCCCAGGAATTCTAGACTGTGGTAAGTTATAATCATACTACTGTACTCTAGTCTAGGTGAAAGAGTGAGACTTTGTCTCTAAAAATAAAAAATAAGTAATACGGTAATAAAATAAATACAATGAATGTTAAAATATTTAATATTTGCTTTTGCCTCTAGTGAACAGTAGTTATATATATACACATGCATATGAATATTAGCAATATATGCATATACACATTACTGTATACATGTATAGAGAAATGAGGAAGGTACACAGATAATATATAAATACCCAACATCATTCAAAGGTCTGTGATTCTAACTGATTTGTTTACTCTATGAGTTTGCTGTCAATATTGATCAACTCTATCCAGTAGAAAAGTATCTTTTTTTAACTTGTAAATATAAAATGAACAGATTAAGAGGCTTGGAAAATGTTAGCATGATGCATAGTCACATGCTGTTAATATTACAAATGACTTCAGAAGTTCAAATAACTAGACATCACTGAACACAAATAGCCTTGACTCAAGGATCAAGTGGATGAAGACTATTGAACCAGGAGTAAATAAAATGATACCTGTTTTCTCATTTAAAAAAAATTGTTAAAGACATTATTAGCTACTCTTCTAATATCAGTGACAGGCAGCAAAAAAGCTAATCTCCTTTTAACTGTGGGGTATTGGTGAACATACTGAAAACAGAAATCTTTTTTCTATGAAAGAACTTTTGATTACAGCAGGACATAGACTAAAATTACTTCATCTATCTAGTACATATGTTAGAAATTTGAAGTACCAGCTAAATTTGTCAATATTGTGATTGAAAAAGATTCTATTTATTTTACCTATAATTATTATCAGTAGTGATTTCTAAAATACAAAAAATCTCAGTGTGGAATAAAAAAATCTTAAGGACTTATTTTTACCTGTGATGGTTATTTTTGCTGACCACTTGGATGTCCCATCTAGTACACTCTGTTTGGCTGCCTTTGTATATTGCACAAAATCTTCTTTAGAAATCTGAAACATTTCCTGAATGACTTCAAATACTTCTGGCCTGTTTTTCTCCCTGATCTTCATTCTTTCTTTCATGGCAGTAATAATGGTCTGAGTCTTGTCTTCAGCACCATGTTTAGAACTCTTTTCTGCTGCTCCTGTAATGGAAAAATCAATGGTGATGTGAATGTACATGCAGTTCCTTTCTGATGGGGGAAATAGGAGAATGAATGGATGCTTTCTTTCTGTGGAGTTAGGGTGACTTTGGGGAAAATTAGCAAAGAGTGCTAAGATTCAGAACAACTAATATTCTTTTGTGTTATTGGCAAGTAAATTGACTTCCATGATTTCCAGTTTTCTCACTTATCAGGAATTGTGTAAAAATTTGGCTTGAATTTTTTTAAGTTCAAAATGAATATAAAGAATGCACACAATCACCTATGTTGTGTACTCAATGGATACCCAAAACAAAATTGAGAAGCAGATTGAATATAAAATGGCAAATGTCACTTAGAAATCAATACATAATTCAAACACTTGTGTTTATTGAATATTTGTTAATGAAAGTTATCATACTTGAATATTTTAACTTTTCCTATAAAATAAATATCACTGTTATTTACTAAAGATTAAAATATAGGGTAGATTTTACTTGGAGTGAAAGTGATTCAGTTGTTTAAAAAAGATTTGGAATCCAATAGGCTAAATGACCTATAAAGTAACTGACAGACCACCAATTGAACTCTCTTTCTTTTATATATACATAGCTTTTTAAAAGACTGCTTTTCATTTTCCACTCAAAATCTTTTTGATTTCTAAGACATTGCTTTTTGTGAGTGGTCTCAACTTTCTGGGCATTTTATTTTGTAACACAAATCCCTCTGTCAGTGAAGGATTTCCAAAATTACATTCTTGGGTCCCTCACCTTTAGCTACTTGGCCAGATATTCTCATTGTTCTGTATAGCCTTCTGGGTTGCTCAGTATTGCAAAGTTAATTGTGGATTATGACTACAATTTTCACAAGTCCTTAGTGATGAAGTGAGAAAGCAAAAGCATATGGACTAGTGTCTGCAAGCACTGCCACTGCCAAGTCATACATTTTGTAACACAGAAGGAACTGAGATATAGTGAAAAGAATTATGACTTGTGTCCATAGCTAGTAATTACTCCAATTTTCATCTATAATACTGTAAGTATTGCCTAACTTGTATTGTAACTTTTTCTGAAATATTATATTTCTGAAATAAGCATACCAATGTCTCATAAAATGTTTGGAGATTAAATGAGATAATTTATCTGCACAATTTCTACCACAAAGGATAACCTCAATGTTGTCCTTTGAATCTAATTCTGTGAATGTTGACTCCAATTTAAGTATGAAAGTTAATACAAAGGAGGAAAGATTAACTGTTAATTTTCCTTATGATACATTTATACACAATTTGACAGCAGTAATTTAGTATAAATAACCATTTATTGGAAAGGATAACATTGGTTTCTCAAAATAAAAAAAAAATTATATTCACAGGATGAGAATAGAGGAAAGCCAAAAGAGATGAATTTTCAATGGTAGAAAGAGAGGATCGCCTGTTGTTATCTTTTTTTTTTTTCACTCTTTGAGTTTTAAGCCACATTTAAAAACAGAAATACAAAAAATGAATTAATTCCACTTAAAGCAATTTAAAAGGACAGTGTAAATTCCCTACTCATTTGTTAAAACATCACCTAAAACAGTTACTCATGTGTAAATTGTGTACCCTTAAGCAATTAAGCATGTTTGTAATCAAAAATGCCTTACCTACACAGTGCAAATTTCTTACACAATACAATTAGCATAGGCTGGACTATATAGTTACAACTACCCAGTAGTCATATTTTATTTCAAGTATTTAATATTCATTACATGGAAAGGACAGTGGTGGCTAGAGGGTGTAACCTGAAAGATTTAAAGTGCCTCAAAAGAAGTGTCATGAAAGTATTGACTCTTCCCCAAGTTTCTAAACAGTTATTATTATTGTTACTAGGGAACAACACTCTAGGGAAACGTGCTAAAAGTCCTGTAGATTTAGATTTAGATTTTTAGATTACTTTAGATTTTTTTAAATTTAGAGAGAGCCCAGCTAACCACCAGCGACAGAATAAATGCTAATTCAATAATAGCTACCAAATTCAAAGCTAGATTGTCAAGACATTTTTTATCCAAAGGAATCAAATTTCTGTTCTTTACAACTACCTCTTGAATTCTTTTAAAATAATTATTAGAAAAGCTTGAAAAGTAGCTTTGAACTTTCACCTATGCTCTTGATGTTAGAATAGAATATCTATTCTTAATATGTACAGAAAAGAGACAAACTCATAAAGTGGAAATGGCCAATTTGGGAAGAGCTGGTTAACAGAGACTTTATGTTTAAGCATTTTGTCTTTTATTTTCTAGAAAGAAAAAAAAAATATGTAGCTTCCAAAAAATTCCACCTTTACATTTTTAATCTGAAGAAAGAAATATTCAATTCAAATTGTTTAACTCAGAGATAAAAAGACAAATTCATAATTAATGGTTGCACTGATCTGCAAGTACTGTCCATTGTCCTATTGTTTACCAAACCTACACATCTCATCTTATTTTTCTAATGAAACTATTTCTTAAATAGTTGAAATTTGTCATGAATTTCTAGCCCTTTGGGTTTATTATTATTTCTTCAGCCTTATTCTGTACATCTCAAAGTCATCAGGAACAACTTGAAATTTGCATTTATATGACTTTGCCTTCAAAGTATGTGGTAGAAAGTGTACTAACTTGAAATACAGTAGTATGCTACTCAGAGATCAACAATAACTGCGATTAAAGGAGATAATGTACAGTAAAAGCACTTTGTGAAGCATAATACATTATCCAAATGGAATGTATCACTGTTACTTTTAAAAACACTTAATTGACAGAGCAGACAATATAATTATGGACAATAAAACTATAAAAAAATTCAACCCTAGACAGAGGCAAACTTATTCCAAACAGGGCAACTGGGTTCCCTTCTACATAATTTAATGAATTAATCAATAAAACAGAATTCGTTTTTCGTTTAATACTCAAAACATGTAAATTTCACATAAAATTCACAATATTACATCTTTATACAGCAATTTACAATTTTGGTGTTTTTTTCCAAAGAATTATCTATCTATATAAAAAATCTTCAATATTCTTCCTTGTTCTCAGTCTCTTCCTTTTCTTATTTTCTCATAACTGTTCCAAAACATTTCTACTTTCAAGTCACCTACCTCACCCTTATTAACCTCCATTTTCAGCACACAATCTTATCTCCTCTTTAACAGCAAATGGAGGTCTGAAAACTGAACAGTCACATTTTTTTCTCCTACTCTAAAGAAGAAAACAAACAAAAAAAGAAAAAGCAAACAAATAAACCCAGATCTGACTTGTAACATTAGCAGATTTGTGTGCTGTAAATATTTGCTTTTTATTTTATTTTCGAGTTGTGGGGTACAAGTGAGGATTTACTACATAAGTAAATTGCATGCAGCTAAAGTTTGGGTTTGATGTAAATCTTTCTAACAACTGATTTCAAGCAACTGCCTCACTAAATTCTTGAATATTTAACAATCACCTGTGACATAGCTACCTGCATATATGTCTATTCCTCATACTAGCTCTTAAGGCCAACCTCAATTAAATGTGTATTTCAAGTGTCTAGCACACTGTTTGGAAAATAGCATATAACTGATAATTGGAGAAGACAAAATATTTCTTGGGGACTCAAGATAAAATGAATGCCATAACTGAGTATTTAATTTGGCTCTGTGTTTAATGTAATATGTTATTAACTTCTTGCCAACTCCTACCCTAAGACCACAAAGAAACAAGAATAAATTCAATGTAAAATGATAAACATCCTGTGGAATATATTTATGTTGAGACAAAATACACCTGGCCCTTAGTTTCAGATCTGGAATTCTCAGAAAACAAAGGCTGAATGCCCATTATTAGAAAACAGAATTTGGTTGACCTGTATATACACCAAGTGCATTTCATAGTCAGCATAAAACAAGGACATAGCTCCAATTAAAAATTGAAGAAATATATCAAGAATATCACTTTTTAAATAATGTAATTGTGCATAGCAGTTAATGATATTTTGAGTATAGAAGATGACAATCTTGAGTGTGATTACTGAACTGTCACTTACTCTTATGGTCTGAATGTTTGTGGTCTCCTAAAATTCATATATTGGAGCCTGATCTCCAGTGTGATAGTATTAAGAGGTGGGAATTAAGAGTTAGGTCATGAGGGCACAGCCTTCAAGAATAGGATGAGTGCCTTTAAAAATTAGGCCTAAGAAAGCTCATTCTCTCCTTCTACCACATGAAAACATAACAATAAGTCAAGAGTCTGCAATCCTGAAGAGAAACCTCTCCAGATCTCAACCATACTTAAATTCTGATCTTGGTCTTCCCACCTTCCGACCTATGAGAAAAAATTAATATTCTTTAAAAGTCACCCAATTTATGGTATTTGTTATGCAACCCAAATGACTAAAGCACTAACCATTTGGTCTTGGGCTAGTTACTTTCTCTCTCTAAGCCTTAGTTTCCTCATCTGAAAAACAAAAGGGACTAGTAGCAGTGTTTCCCTTAGCAAGGTTGTATGATGATTAAATGAGATAATGCATATAACTATTAATAATAGTAATTGAATAAGTACAGTATTTTCAGAAAGACAAAAAAGTGAAGATACTGGCATTTATTAAATAATTTTACAGTACTACAAACCTTTCTGGCTTTGAGCTTTATAAAATCATTTGACCTGTGAAACGGCTCCTTTAAACACTCACTTATGGACAATGTCAAGTCCAGTGTCTCACGCAAACCCAGTGTCTGCTCCATATCTATTTGCTAGTTGGGGGCCAATAAAGTACAAAGATATAGGAAATCAGAGTTCAAAGACATTGGAGAAAGCACTTCATTTTATAACATTGATAAAGCCTTACCTGCATTTGAAGTTGATGAACCCAGAGAAGGTAGGTGGTTATCATACATGGAAAGCATGCAGAAGGTCTGATACTGAGGCATCTGAATATTCTCTCTCTCTCTCTCCCCCCCCCCCCCCCCCCAGAGTCTCTATCATGAGAAACAGGACCATCTTGC